GCCCTCCATATCCCCCTCCTAACCCCCAACCCTCCTCCTCACTAATATCTCTGAGGAGCGGGAAAGTGCCTCCTCATCTCAGAAAGCTCTTATTAGAGGAAAGAACATAGTAAGCTGCCAAAAGCACGCACAGAGAAAGAGAGAGCGTGCACGTGTGCGGGAATGTGATGATTACTGTAAACACTCGGCTATCTGCCTCTCGGTAAACACACAGAGTACTAAAGTGTGCTCTGTAATGATGGGGAACTATAGGAGGGCGTAGGAAAATCTCTCTACAAGCTGGGACAAGCATCCAGACCTCGGAGCGCTTAACTAATCATTATATACACGAGTGCTGAGGAGCTGCTTACTGCCCACGGAAACATTTCTATCACATATGACTGATAGGCAGCTTGAAGCTGTTTAGAGCTGCTTAAATACTTTTGGAACCAAGATGAAGACGTTAAACATTTATGCTTTTTGTCTAACTGCATGGAGCCCTTTGACTTATTAAACAGAAAGTTTCACTGTAAATGTATCTGAAAGACTGTTTAGTTTAATGACGCCGTGCTGTGAAAAGATTACACTCTGTGATGGTGAAGCTAGATGAAGGAGCAGGAGATCAGAGAACTGTTTAAGGCTCAGCTCCTGATGGTGGTGAATGTACAGATGTGATGTCTGGCTGGATCAGATCCACTTTGGTGGTGCACACAGGCAAAATTACAAAAGGTCATTGTCCAAAAAACTAAGTGCATATTGGTGTTTGCCTAAAGATCCAGTTGTTGTATTTTCAGGGTAGTCGTTATGCACTTAAATGATGTCTGTTGCCCCGTTTTCCACTGTCATGGTTCCAGGGCCCAACTGAGAACCGGTTCCATGCACAGAAACCCAGAAAAGGACCAGTTCAAAGCACTTCATACCAGTACTAGCTTTTTTATGTGAATGGAGGGAAGAACCATGTGTAATAATTTGTTCTTGTACTTGTGGTCTGAGTTTTCAGAGACTGGCACCAGCACAGCCCTCTTGGAAAAAAGCAGCTGTGAGCAGTGCTTGTATGTAGTTACAGCACGGTCCAGCTTCCAGCATCTGTTTAGCACGTATGAAAACTGGCCAACAGCAAAAACTTGCCTTGATGCTTCGCCTCAGGCTAACAAAGTGTGAACTGAGAGGATTGATGATGTCGGCATGGTTTTGACCGTGAGTCCGTTTTGTGTTAGCTGAGGTTTAATAGATTCAGACCCACACAAAACTTAATGGTGTGTTGTGGCTTTGGGCTGTTGCCACTTTGTCCCATCCTGCTGTGTACAGATCGGCCGCCTTTTATCTTCTTAAGCCATGCTGTGGTCCACTTGAGTCTGCGATGGTTAAACCAAACATGCCTTATTTAGTCTACTCTCACAGTTTAACGTACACTCTGTTTGGCTGCTGACGGCTTCCACCCCTCTGATGATTTATGACTCATTTTGTCTACAAGTCAACATTTGTAGTTTCTCGTGTTTTTTGGCATCTGTAATGTTTATGGGCACCATGTATGACCCTGTATGGTCAAAAACACGCTCACGGGCAGTAGCAGAGCTGAGAGCTGAGAGCTGAGAGCGCTGTCCTGTTTCCTCTGTTATGTCTGCATGGCTCCAGATGATAGCTCAAGGTCGCGCGTGGAACCTGAAGCACAGCTTAACTGTAGCTGTCTTGGCTGAGCATAAAGGGAGTGTGCTCTGAGTTCACAGAAAGCCCGTGTGGTTGCTCCACTATCACTAAGTTATGCTAGTTGTACCGCTGGACAAGCGGTGCAGGAAACTGGAGATGACCTGGGTGTTACTGTCTCATTGCAGAAAACATTCCCACTGTAACATCAAACCTGCTAAATACGAGCTTTGGCACGTCAGACATAACGCACAGTGGGAGACAAAAAGAGAAGCCTGAGGGATACAGTTACACACAGGTCCAGAGGAAGAGGGGGTTTTAAATGTGCCTGTAAAATAAAAAGAAGAAACTAAGACTGGTATGATAAACGTGTCCTGACATGTCGATGCAGAGGTCTACTTTTCTTAAGGAGTCACCCTCTGAAACAAGGAGTCACAGAGGATGACGTGATGTGGAGGAATTAATGGAAGATGCAGGCAATGAGAACGGGGCCAGATGAAAGAGGCAGTGATGATAAACGGACTGAGACGAGGACATTCGAGATACTGATTTGTTATTTTTGTGGCTGTGCGGGCTCTGAAACACAGTTTCATTTTTCAAGTTGTTTTAATGACATTTAATTGAACTGAAACAAACACCAATCAATAAACTGGTTTATGAGACATACAAGTTAAATCCAGTTCTTTGCCTCTTTTTGTTTGTTAATACCAAATAAACTGTATAAATGTTACATCAATATAACACGATGAAGTCATAAACTCATAAAAAGTCACACAGACATGCTGTGACTGCTTGTTGTTACCTGGCTTACCGTGAATATATAACGTAAGAGGATATATCAATAGCATATAACACGTTTATAGGAATACTGTAAAATAGTAGTGTCTGATTATTTTGTACAAGAAGTTAAAGATTTACGCCCTTTTTATTATTCCTAAAATTGCATAAAGATGGAGGATCCACAACTAATGAGACGTCAAAATAAAGTCACGTTTCTTCAGCAAATGTATGTTTGTTACTTGAGAGTCTTTCCCTTCTGAGCTGGAGCAGGTAATCGTGGATTACCAGGGTAACTAAACAGAAACAGACAGTCTGCAGACTCACTGTGTTGATTCTTCTTTGTTTTTTTAAAGAAATCTTTGCCTTTGCAGTCGTTGCTATTTTTGTAGGGAAATGTAAGGCAAAAGAAGATTCCCAGACCTAACTGTGGTCCCCATGTTTCATGTGTCGGCCCTCTGAGGTGCACACGATCTTGTGAAAAAGAAAGGTTTTATTAGAGCAATAACTTGAAGTACTTGTTTCTGTGTGCCTTCATTGTGGGGGAATTCTGGACGTTTTTCTACTCAACGTTACTTCAGTTCACAAAATATTTGGGGGCATTTGTTCCTGAACAGCTCACATAAGGCCCCACCACAGCATTTCAACCTGCTCAAAGCCTGGTCTTTAACTGGGACAACACCTTATTCTCCAGCTGGTGTGCTTGCTTTCATTGTCATAACCTAGTTTCAAGCAAACGTGAGATGGACTTGGGTTTGACTCTAGAATACTTTGGTGCACAGAAGAGCTCATGGTCAGCGCAGTGACTGAAAGGTTCATCTGAGGTGCTCGAGCTTTCTCTTGGCAACCTTTACAAACCTGTTCAGTCTTTGTTGTAATGTCAGAAGTTTTCAAATTTAACATGCTAACTAAGGCCTGCCAAGAATGAGATCGCTGCCCCCCCCCCCCCCCCCTTATTTTTTTTTTAATCATTACACAAGCTGGCCCTGGGGTGAATTTTCTGGGACATCCACACCAGAAAGGAGTGGCAGCTGTCTTGTTTTCCACCTGTGAATAATCCCCTTCACTGTACATTGATGAACTTCAGACCTTTTAGCTTTTCACAGATAGACGAGCAGCAACAATTACTTCTTTAAGATCACCACTGATGTCTTTCCTCCCTGGCATTGTGGTAACACACAGCTGATCGCTCAGCAAAACTTCTGCTTTAACAGAAGTGCTCACACCTCCCAGTGCTGCATTTTATTAGCTGCATTTATCTCTGGCTGGCTGGAGCAGCATCTAATAACCAACTCGCAAAATAAAAAAAATACAAAACCAAACACGAAAACACCAGACATTATGATACAGACTTATAATTTGCACCGATGTTTTTTCGAAATTCTGATGTGAAAAGTGAGCGCGAGAGCCCTCGGTGCCCTGCTCGCTGCTGAAGTCAAAGAAACTTTATTGTCATCTCCGCTACTACAGTCCAGTTGTACAGGGAGATGGCCACAGGCAGGAATGATTTCCTGTGTCGGTCAGTGGTGCATTGTGGGTAATCTCAGTCTCTCACTGAGCGCGCTCCTGTGACTAGCCAGCATGTCATGGAGTGGGTGGGAGGTGTTATCCATGATTGTCTTTATCTTGAACAACATCGCCTCTCAGATACCACCCTAACAGAGTCCAGCTCCATCCCCACAACATAACTGGCCTTATGGATCAGTTAATTTAGCCTTTTGGCATCTGTGACCCTCAACCTGCTGCCCCAGCATGCAACAGCAGAGAGGATCAGCACTGACCACAACAGAAGATACAACAAGATAACATTAATTAGTAGGGATAGTGAAAACGTCTGTTTACTTTGTTAGCCACTTGGCTATGATAGTAAACAGTAGACACTGATGTAGCTTACTGAATCTTTGGACTGTGTTCAGCACAATATTAATTAGTCATTGTCAATTCTTGATTTGTCCTGTTTCATTGTATGACCAATTATGATGGCTGTTTGTAAGCCATTTGCATACTATGCATACTCTCTCGTGTGTGTGTGGGGTGTGTGTGTGTTGTGTGTGTGTGTGTGTGTGTGTGTGTGTTGTGTGTGTGTGTGTGTGTTGTGGTGTTGCTCTGGTGAAATTCAGTATGGTTTCGACAACAGTTTTATGTTAATGTAAAACTGTATTTGTTTTGTGTGTGTGTGTGTTTGTGTCAGAGGGAGTGTTCGCCCAGGGCGCCAAACAGGCTAGGACCGCCACTGATGAGGAGGATGACTTGAAGGAAGAAGATATTTTCATCAAATACAGTTAAAAATATTTTAACTTTATAAAAATGTAACAAAAGTGCTTTTGAACTACAATAGTAAAAGCTCTCCGTGTTACATTTGCCCCCAAGCGCTACTTTCTACTTGATTTATATAAATTGTGTTTTTACTGAAGGTATTAAATGGTTCTGTTATAGTGCAGACATATATGTTCCTTCAAAGATGTCTGTTGTGAGTTGCTCCATTTCCAAAGTTGAACTGATCGTAGTGAGGTGAAGGGACGGGTGAGTTCCGACGGGCTGCTGTGCTGTGACGGGGGAGAGAGGCGTGTTCACGGCAGGAATGCAGCGCTCAGGTGGAGAAAGAGAGAGGGTAGCAAAGAGAGAGAGGGAGACACACGGACACAACAGCAGCAGCCGAGCTGTGGACAAGTGGGATCGGCCCGTGGCCCCCGTGCTCCTGAGAAGTCGTCCCCGCTCCTCTGTGCGCACTTTGGCCGGACTGAGAGGAAGGTCACGAGGAAAATAGAGGGGAAAGTGCCACCGGCGCTACCTGCTGCGACCACAGTCAACCAGGAGTCACCTGCCGGGAGGCAAAAGTGCATTTTAAGCGTAGTTGTAGGAACACGTTGGAGTCGTGGCAGATGGTTTATAAGAAGCTCTTTTTTTTAAAGGACAAAGGGCCCTTCGTGTCACTTTTTGCACTTGCGCGTCCAGCAAAGGAGGTCTTACAAAAATTAACGTATTTATTATTTTCAGGCTTTACTTGTAACTGATGTCATGTGTTTTGGGAAGTGGGACGCAGCTGTTTGGATGGACAGGCACTTCAGCTGAGAGAGAGTGAAAGACACGAGACTTCCTTCAGAGTGTCTGCTAAAAAACAGCGAAGGCAGAAGGAAGAAGCCTCCAGCAGACGCAGGGACATGGATGGTATCGCTGTCTTTGAAATCCGTGTGTCGGCGCAGTCTGCAGATTGGGTGCACAGCGCGTCTGAGCCGTGACAGTTCATCATGACAGAGAATCCAAACTGCACCTGAGCGCGAATGTAACGTTACCGGAGCCCACTCCACTACAGGATCCACGATGTCCTCAGTCCAGACGAGGTAAGAACGAGGGGCTGTAAACGATCTCTCTGATCAAGTTTATCTTCCACCCGCAGGTGGGATTAGTATACTGTGATTTCTAATACGAGTCCAGCTTTGATAAGAGGCGACAAATTCCAGAGAAGCAACATGGAGCCTGTCTGTCCTCTGGAAGGAGGAAATATTTGGTGGCTTTAAATATTTACCTTGAGTTATTTTTTTCTTGCAAGGAGCTGCAAAGCCTTGAACATTTCTTGCACTGCATTGAAGGATGGGAGGTGATAAATTCCAGGGACAGTTGAGTTTTTCTCTTCCCCAGTGGGTTGGACGGTGTTTGTTTTGTGGTTTGATCCATTCCAAGAAGTTCAAGGAAAACTTGTGCTGTGGGGCATCTTTTCTCAGTTGTTTTGGAGCATATTTGAAAAAGCTCGTTGCTCGGGTGCTTCTGTATTTCGCTTTATTTGGTTTGTGCATTTGGTTTGACTTGGAGCAGCTTAGTTGATCCTGCAGTCGCCTGTGAAGCCAGGGGCAGAAGTCATATCCAGTCTGCTGTAGGCTACTTCCTACCAGAGGGTGAGGTAATCCCCCTGCCATATCAGTGATATTACAAGTCCCGACTCCACATTCCACACGCCCTGATACTCTACCTTTATCTCCTAAATGTCACTGCCTATAAATACCCTGGTAATATTTTATCTAATCCTTACCCTGCAACAGAGAACACAAACACAGAGGACTGCAGAGAGACTCAAACTTTGCAAAGCTTTTTTCATATCTGCCTCTCAAATGGACCTGGTGTGCATTTGATGCCGTGCATCAGGGCACATTTGTAGGACCGCTGTCAGCCAGGCTGGTGTGCAGCAGGAGAAAGAGGAGAGAAAGAATTGGCTCAGGGCACATTTTCTGTGTCGGGTAACTCTTCAGAGGAATGTTTGTTTGGGAAGGAGCTGTCAGACTCATGAACAGGTTTAATCTTCTTACCATGGAACACTGAGCATATAGCTTCAAAACGAGGACACTAATTTGGTGTAACACGCAACGATGTCACTTTCTCCTCCAGCAAGGAATTTCAATCCTTTTCTCTCGCCTGGGATTTGCGCTTTAAGCACTAGAGAAAGACATTAGTGTTTTTTTTTAAGTGGCTCTTTGTAATTGATGGATTATCCTTGATGTGTAACGAAAGACAAAAAGTTATGCAAGCCTCAGTTTTCTTCTAATAAATACAATGTTCTTAATTTAACAGATGCAAAGCTGAGGTACATGATTTTGCACTCCAGTGTTCATTTTTACAGACATGTTCTGCAATGGCCTCTACGTGCATATAAAGCATCTGGTCCATGATGAAGATTGAAGGTAGTTTTTGAAATTATGAAAATATCTCCTGTATTTTGGCTGTAACTGCTATCCCACCTGAAAGCCTGAGACTCCATTAGAGAAGCAGGTGATAGTACCATTAAAACCACTGGAACCAAGGGAACAACATTGATCATCAGGCAACAAGTGAACGGGCAGTGCTTGAAATGCTGGAAACAGGAAAAAATGGGGATAATGATCATAGAGACTTTGATGATGGCTATATTAGAAAATCATAGCAGTGCCAAGAGGGCAGGTCTTGTGGAGGGTACCCTGTATGCTGTGGTTACTAGCTTCAGAAAGCTGTGAATAGTAATGGCCATGGGGAGATTCTTGCTCTTCTAAAAGACTTGCTAAAATGTAAAGGCTGCTAAAAGTTTATGGAGCAAGTGCAAACCTCCAGAAAAATGTGGAAGTACCAACAACAAGCAGTTTCTCTAATGGCCATGTGAGGCTGGCTCCAAACTGAATCAGTCCCCAAAGGCTGCCATGTTCAAATCTGGCATTTGAACATGGCAGCCTGGGACAAAAAACATTTCAGTCTCTTTCTATTGATAGTCTCCCTCCATAATAACTGTACAGGAGCTGGATTTTTTTAAACTCACCTGTTCAGATATTTAAAATGCTGAAAGTTGGTTAATGGACGCAAATAAATGTAGTCCAGGCCGAGTGCCCAATGAGGCCTGGGTTTGCTAGGCCTCCACTCCATTTTTAATGGAAACATCTCACAAATGAAGTGACCTGTTTTGTAGTACTGACCATCCAAGAAATCTGTGCCTTAAATTTGATGAGTGAAATTCGAGTATCTTTTTAGCTTGATACTAATGAGCAGATCTGTGTACCTACACTTTTGCCTATGAATACAGCTTGCTAGCATTAGCTGATAACTGATACCTTCACTTCTGGCTCCAAAGATACATCCAAATCACCAATGGTGAGGCTTGGAAATGCATAGTCCAGGGTGATGTTGCATTACAGTCTTATACAGTCTTTGGTTTGGAACTTTGTTTATGCTGTCCATAATCAAATGTGCCTACATGTGAGAGTTAGGGCCCTTTCATATAGAAACTGCAACATGCTAGCTGCGACAGTATAGCTGTGTGACCAATAGAAGTTCAGAGCCTGTAGTACGAATGAAGATCATGAGTGGAAGCAAGAAAGTGATGTAGTACAGCCAGAGCCCAGCGCAGTGCACGCCGCTTCCTGTGTGAAAAGGGTGGATGTGAACCATGGAGCAATGGAAGAAGGTGGTTCAGGTTGCAAAGACAGGATTATTTGGACCTGTTACAAACTTCTTTGTTGTGGATGCCACAGGACATCTTCTGGGTTGTTGTGGAGTCCATGCCTTAATGGGTCAGAGCTGTTTGATGGGAGACCTACATGAGCGAGCAGATGGTTTTAATGTTGGAGCTGATTGGAGTAATGTTGCCGCAAGGAAAAAAGTACTGCATCACAATTTGCCAGTTACGTCTGTGAATTATCCAGTCTTCATTTTAAACTCTGGGGCTGGCTGGTTTAAATCTCAGTGCTCCCTGGGAGCTGTAATTAGGAACACATCAGTCAAACAGTCAGATTCAGATTCTTCAACTTAGGTCCTCATACATTTTTAAGAGTAAAAATGCCCATACATGGAAGAAAGGCAACTGTACCATTATTATAATTGTATTATTACATTTATTTAAGCTTCTTATTATACAGATAAAGATACTGAATTCTTTATAACATTTTAATTATTTATTAATCGAAGAACCACATTTGTAAAGTAAGTAAAATTGTATTTATATATCACTCTTCAAGTCAAATATCATAATGTGCTTAGAGTTAAAGTTTAAAGAGATTTAGTGAAAGAGACCAGCGAGTCCACAGATCTCAGGCTCAGAAGAAAAGAGATCAAGAGTCTGGGGGCCACTGTTGCTAAAGCTCCTTTAGTTTTGTATCCATACATCCACAGCAGGTCCTTATCACATGACCTCAGGGACCTGCTGTGGATGTATGGAGCTACAAGCTCTCTGATGTGCGCTGCTGCTTGCCCATGCAGAGCTCTAACATTTTCAAACCAAAATCTTCAAGTGGACTCTGATGTTGATGGGGAGTACTTGGACTCTTAGTCTGAACAACCTGCACACGCTCCAGGGAGGACTTGTTAAGACAAGCGAACACAGGCGCCATCATACCGGAAACTCTCGTGATGATTCAACGTGGAGAGTTTGATGTCCGTCCAAGTCATGAAGTACTTCAGTTCTCAGTCACAGCTTCTCCCAGTTTAAAACTCTATGCAAAAAACCCTTTGTTTTTAGATACACCCAAATGACCTAAGACAAGAATAAAGGACAGGGCAAAAATAGTACTTAAATTCACAAAACAGATTATCTGCTCAAATAGGTCAGATCACAGCCACAGCTACAAAAATACCCACATTAAAGATGTTTTCTTGAATGAAATCAAGGCATGAGAGTGATAATCAGGATGGGAGATGGTTCAGATGTGTCCTCGTCAGTGGAAATAATATTTTTGGTTTAGGTAAGGAACAGAGTATGCTGGAGGACGCAGGACGTCAACGTTGCAGTAGGAAGCTGGCAGGATGTCCAATCATTGCACTCTCACTTACTTTGTTGGTCAACGTCCAGAACAGAGCAAACTAAAATGAAACGCTTATTGGTCATTTCATCTTTTTCACTGTTGTCACTTTGTGTTCCTCTGTCGGTACAAACAGTAGCTGAGAACAATCACTGACTTCAGGCAAACAACTGGAATGCTGTTATCGATCCAGCAGCAAAGTAAACTCTCGCTGTCTCTTGTGCCGATTTCTTGGAAAGATTCAGCCAATAATCAAAGACTTTTTAAACTAAACCTCAGAAACTCCTATAATGTAAAACTAGTCTTTCCACAGGTGAGAGTAACAGAAGGTTAACAAATGGTAGAAGGTGGAATCCACTTTGAACGATTTCCTGTTGTGGATATTCACATTTATACACTTTCCATGTTACTTTGAAGCAGGTACTGGCTTATCTGCAGCGGCCCACGGGCTCTGTCGGAGACAAAGATGAAGCCATGCAGTCATTCCACAGACGGACGCTTTCTAGTGTCATGGACCAGGTAGATAAGGCTTTACTGCTCTTTGTGTGTGTCTATCTGAACTCAAGCTTTTACTCTTTAGTCTCTTTGTGTCCAAGGAGGACATGTGACGTTTTTGTCTGTTAGCAGGATGAACCTTTGTGGTACAATGTGAAAACTGATTGGTAACAAAGAATAACTGAACTGGATGTGATCTAAATCATAGCTTCTGCCACTGGATCATTAATGTTTTTAATCCATGATGTAGAAAATCTGACAGAGACTTGAAACTTGACTCCCAACCCTCAGGATACATTTATGTCTACTTAGTGTTTATGTTTTTTTAATCTAAGACAGGCTTCACTCTTTATGTGGATAGAAGACATTTTGAAAAGCCCATTAAAACATGGTGGGTTTAGCCCACATGTCATCACAACATCAGTTGCGTGCATCTCTCCACATTCTCATGTTGTGAGACCGTGACTGTCGGTGACCTGAGAGGCTCTGCTTCAATCAAAGTGGCTGTGAAAAGATAATCTCATAATCCCCGAGGTATGGTGGTGTACCAAGGTTGTTCTCCCTGTGGTGGAAGGAGCAAAGTGAAATCAAGTGAAGCAAAGCAAGCCAAACAAAGGGAAGGCACCATAGTTGAGTCTAGACATTTTGGCAGCGGCCATCTATAATTATTTTACAATTAACCACAATCCTCTCTGAGCGTTTGACCCTTTAAAGCCGGTGGGAGCAGGCACGCTCTGTTTTGCATAGCTATTTTTAAATCCCGGTAGAACTGCAACCACGTAAGCTAGCGCAATAATTTTTTTTGCATATGAAACTGGAGTAGTTGTACTTGCATCTTATGCCATCAACTTGTCCTCGGTCACAGTTTCCTTCCACATATAGCTTTGCAAAAATTGCATAAAAACCACTTGCAGCAACAAAAACATAATATTCCAGAAACACGGTTTACCGATCCGATCGGCTGTTCGTAACACTTTGGAATAGATCATCAGCGCAAACGATCGCATGTCTGCCATTACCTGCCCGGAACCGGAAGTGACGTCATTTTCACGGAAATGTAGTTTTTTACCTTCAGGGCCTCATCAGCCTATACTGGTGTTTTTAAAAGTTATGTTTGACTTTATGACTTTCTGTATTGTTTCTGGGATGCTTAGAAGTCAAATTGTACTGCTGGAAATAGTTTATTTTGATGCATATGCTGTTTTTTTGCAAATTTGCATTATAATATTTATTTTCGTTTTTCCTGCAGTATATAAAAATTGGTGTATTTCAAAAATAAAACTATGAAGACACTTAAAATAAATTTCCTGTGGTGGGAAACTATTTTGTGCAACTTTTTTGTATTTACAGTTCTGAGGCATAAGCCTCTTAAATGTCTCTAGCTAGAAATAATATGTTAAAAAAACAAAAACGATTGTCAGTTTTTTTTGTAGTTAATTGCAGTTTTTTGCAACTTATGTAATTACTATACACTTAATGCATACATATTATTAAAATTTGGGCTATAATGGTTGTATTGATGTATAGCAACTTGAAATGCTCCCTAAAATGGCGCTACAGCATGTAAAAATATAATATAAGCTCTGGCGGACTTGGTTCTATGGTAGGTCTTAAAGGGTTAACAAACAGTGATACTGGATTTCTTTTTTTACTACGTCTTCAAGTGAAACAGCTGCTGAGCCACAGAGACTTTTGCCTCGTCTTCAGAGAGGCTCACAGTCCCGAACCCTAACCCAGACCGAGGCCACTGACTACTTAGTAAGCACAGATCCAGGGATCAGAGCCGGAATCCGGCGCTTCAGACTGAACATCTGGTTCTTTCATTTTATTCAAACGCGTGCTCCACGTAAGCATCAGACCCTCCACCAGTCAGTCTTGGGTCATTAAATCTCAGGGTGGGTCAAAGGTCAAGTCTTGCCTCTGGTTGGAAGACATGTTGCTTTTCCAAACTTGGTGGGTGTGCAGCTATTTGTAGGGCGCCATACAGAAACACTTACACCGAGATCCCACACAAAGAATTTAAATGAGCAGAGATCTTGAATTGAGGTGTCTCCGGCGTTGACGTGACTCTCAGCTTCCAGGAGGTCAGAGGTCACATTCTCACCTGCAGCATAATCAAGTCAAAGCGGTATAATAGAATCCGTGTAATTGCATGATAGCTGTGTGGAGCTGTTGTTTATTTGTGCAGGGTGGGAATGTGAGAGCTACCTGTCTGTTAGGGCGTGTTTAAGGCAAGGTTCGTGAGTTCACTCACATTACAATGTAAGGGTGGGGAGAGTGCAGAGAACTTTACCTTTCTTAAGACCTGCTGACGTTAGACACAGGTGAGGTACCTGTCTACATATGGGTTTGTTGCCAAGTCACAGTCACTGCTCATGGCAACCCACTTTGTGAGTCATCATAAGCAGACCAGACCAGACCAGTGTTTCAAGTCAAAATTTTATGATCTGTCGATGGCATATGTGCAATATTCCAGATCTACAGCCCAGTGAAGCCGGTGCATGTGATTCATCTGTGGTTATAGGTGATGTTGCTCCACAGACACTCTTAAAAAGGTCAACAGAGAGATGTGTAGGTGTGCGTACTGTGTAAGAGCTGTTGCTATGCATTGTTAAATATGACACAAAACACAAAAGCATAGATTATAATTATAGACTGTATATAAAAGATGGTGACTGCCTGTCAGAAGGACTGCATGAGGATCAGGTGCTGAACAACCAAAACTGGCACACATGTACACCCTCGCTTACTTAACTATATCAAGGGTCTTACCTGTTGGCATGTGGTTGCTAGGCAACACATGATGCTACCTAGCAACCACCTTCAACCGCCGTTTTAGTTTACTAACAGGTTAAATTAGGCCATCTACATCTTTGCACCTATAATACCTCAGTATCATAACCTCTCATTTATATCCACAAAGCTTGAATTGTGCAGGATATATTATGACACCATCATGTTCTCCAGGCAACAACAGACTAAACTCACAGAACAAATAATACTACAGCATAATAGCAAGTACTGCTAAATAAAACTGAAGCACTTTAACCCTGTATTCTTTCTAATGGTAAGTAGAGGGTGAAGTGTATGAGGAAACTGCCCTAATATTCACTTCATGTATAACCTCAGTGCGTTCTTTTTGGATTTGTGGTTTGTTAGTTTCATGTCCAAGAGCAACATAGATGATAAATAACTGTATTCTTTTGGATGTGGCTTCCTACCAATTAATAAGTCAGTACCATATAAGCATGCAGTGTTCCTCAGTTTCTCAGTTTGAGCTGCTCTTCACTCATCATGTCTTGTTTTAAACATCTGTATGGCAACAGCCAAACGCTCCACATGAAGCTTCTCAAGAGGCCTTAAAAACCAGTGGGTAATGTCATGGTGACTAGCATCTTTTATATATGGTTCATGGTTGTAATTGATCAGACTGAGCTGACTGTGACAGGAAGATGGCGCCTTTGCTCGGCTTGCCGTCTACCTGCCTACGCTGTATTGTATTTTATGCTTTTATATCAGCCCTGACGTTTAATATATGGAGCTATGCTGCTGTGATTTACGACCGTTCTTCCTTGCTTCACATCAAAGACTCTATGGAACGTCTTTATGATGACTGGGACAGTTATAGAAAA